GGGCGGCCCCAAGCCTGGTGGCTGGCCGTTGGCGCTTCCCAGGCGGCCTGCCACGCGGTGGCTTCCCCATAGGGAAGGGTCGCTGCGGGAACAGATAGGAGTGCGACACCCCCCCTCCCTGGGGTGGCGGGAGGGGCAGAGACTTGTGTCCACGGACCAGTTCTGGCAAGTCCACGGACCAGCGCCGGGCTGCGGACGGGGGTTGGTGACCCCTGGAGTAGAGGATCCAGTCCTACTGTAGATATGGTTATTCAATTATTCTTGCTGCAAGAATACCAGCAACACATAACCTCCTACACAGATAGTCTGCAACAGATCAGACTTATAATTCATAAAATTGTTCTCTTTTATTAAGTTTTGCAGTTTCTGTAGTCCTTGTAGGAGAAAGATTTATTGTTTTCCTCCATTAAAGTTTATCTAGCTGTGTTATTAGCCTACCTGTCTCTACATGCCATACAATATTTTTCCTTTTCATGTTCTCAGAGGTGAAAAATTCCCAGGTGGGAAATTCTTTACAGCTTTAGTCCTTTCACTGGAGCTGCCTTTGGAGCCTCTGGTTTCCCCTGTTGAAACTTGTAACAGGCAAATTAACTTTTGCTGTGGCTATTACTACAACATACCATGCATGAGAACTCTGTTCATCGTGGGTGAACCAACTGTACACTGTTATCCAAAGTCATCATTCAACCAGACCTCACACTCCTCCCAAATGTCATCTCAGTCTTTCACATCTCAAGACATTGTTCTTCCAACCTTAATCCATCAGCTTCGGCCCTTCTGATAAACACCTTGCATGCACTAGATATCAAAACAGCATTCACATGTTATGTACACAGAACAACTCTGTTTTTGTAACTCTTTGTCATTCATTTTGACTCATTCTGGTCCATAAGAAAAGAATACAAGTCTCCTCACAACACTTCACCAAATGGATTGTGGTGACAGGCATGATGTAATGCCATCTGGTTAAGACTCCCTTGCCAAATGCTCCAAGAAGCCACTCCAGCAGAACAATGACAGCTTCCACTGCATTTCTGCAGAAAGTTTTCTTACCCAAATTGTGTCATCTCAACCTCCGACCTTCCTCCTACTCCAATGTATCAACATCAGATCTTGGAGGCCTGCTTCTTTCGGGAGAGCTTCTCTTTTGTATTCCAGTGAGTTCCAGGGCCTACCTGCCTGCCTTGTAGAGGCCTTTGAAGATTAAAATGGCTATTTGCCCATATGTGTGAATGCACAAGACCACAGAGAGGAAAAACAGGTTATTTTCCTATAGTGTTTACTCTCTGAGTGGACATCTGTGCAGTCACATAATCTGCCCTTCCTTGCACCTTTTGCACTGACTGTTAATGGATGCTTTGCCATTGTGTTGTCCTGCTTTTGAATGGAAGAGCAGCCCACCAGCACATGTGTTATACTCAGTCCAGAAGGTTCCAGATGGTAACTCTGTGCAGAAGTAGATCCATATGTGTAAATGCAGAGATGACCATTCCATGAACAAATGTTAGAGGTAAGCAGTCTTTTTTTTCTGGTTTATACGACATGATTTTTAAAGCAGCCAGGAAGGATTCAAGAGAGCTAATTTCCTTTTCAAGAAGCTATCTGAAATTAGAGTTGACAGATGGGAATCAAACATTAGCAGCCAGTGCCACTTGAAAATGAACATTTCATCACCTCTAAGAAGTCTCTATGGGAATGTAATAAAACTTGGAAGCAACACTGGCTTGCTGGATCTTCCAGTTCTGAGCAGATCATTTGGTCTTGTAGCTGAAAAGGCAAATAATTTGCAGATTCCTATGTTTAATCACTAGATTGCCTACACTGCTTATCTAGATAGCAGTGAGATAGAAAATGGGGTGCTTACTCTAAAATACGGTACTGTTGTTACAGTGTGCATGACCATCTCATTTTTTCCACTGTTCCAGCATACTTTGCAGATACTTATTTGAAAATCTGTGTTTAGAATTTATTGGAGCACGGGCAATATTGGGATCCAAAAGAAAAAAAAATGGATATCCACCAAAGCCTCCAACAACTTTCACCTATTTTTGTTGTTGTTTAGTCGTTAGGTCATGTATTATTCTTTGTGACCCCATGGACCAGAGCACACCAGGCCCTCCTCTCTTCCACTGCCTCCCGGAGTTTGGCCAAAGTCATGTTAGTAGCTTCGATGACACTGCCCAGCCATCTCATCCTCTCTCATCCGCTTCTCTTCTTGCCTTCACACCTTCCCAACATCAGGGTCTTTTCCAGGGAGTCTTCTCTTCTAATGAGATGGCCAAAGTATTGGAGCCTCAGCTTCAGGATCTCTCCTTCCAGTGAGCACTCAGGGTTGATTTCCTTCAGAATGGATACGTTTGATCTCTTTGCAGTCCAGGGGACTCTCAAGAGTCTCCTCCAGCACCACAATTCAAAAGCATCAATTCTTTGGTGGTCAGCCTTCTTTATGGTCCAGCTGTCACTTCCATACATCGCTACTGGAAAAACCATAGCTTTGATTATGCAGACCTTTGTTGGCAAGGTGATGTCTCTGTTCATCTTTTCATTTCGTCACTGCTGCCATCATCTGCAGTGATCTCACTAAATGAAATAATGATTTCAATGGCTAAATGATCTCAAACTGCCTCTGACTTTTCTCTCCTGCTTTTTTCAAAAAGCAGTTGGGGGAGTCTAGGGTTGCCAAACATTAGGCAAAAGGAAGACATGTCCTCCGGCAGGCAGGCAAATATAAAAACCTTTAAAATGTCAGGCTTTTGTATATTTTATAATTTTGGATGGGAGGGGGAGAAGTGGAAGGACTCCCCCTTCCCATCTTTCCCCGCACCTACCCATCCCAGGTAGCTGCTGCCAGCGCCAGAGCGCAGCCCTCACCCCCTCCTGCTACCGCGGGTGCTCAGCAATCATGCCCGCCCAGCCCACGTGGAGCCCAGAAAGGCAGCGCGAGTGGAGCACCGCCCGCTGAGCCAGGCAGGAGCAAGCAGCACCCGAGCGCATCGATGGGAAGGCGAGCAGCCGGACTGTGTATATTCAAAGTCCCTTTTGGGGACTCCAACTCCCACACTTCCCAGCCTTGAACTTATGACCCTCAGGGGAGGGGAAGCTGCCTTGTTTAGCTTTGCCCGGTGCCACTTTCCCCCTGCCTGCACCAGAGCCTTGTTTGGACATCCAGATTAGCAAGGCTGTCTCTGAGCCTGTGCAGAGTGCAAGTGGCCGGGGGATCCCGCAGCCAGGCTGGGCTGGGTTTGGGTACAATTGGCTGTTCAAATAATGTTTTTTGGTATTTTAAAAAAAGCCTCCATTGAATTTATTTTTATATTTTAACATGACTGTTTCTTGGTCAGTTCACTAAGAGACAGTTGTTGGCAGCTATTTTAAAAACTTTGTATTGATTGCGGGTTTAATCCAGAACAATTCAAATGAAACATTCAATACGCCCTCCTCTGTCCTCTTTTTTGTCTTTCTATGTCCTCCTTTTGGTACCCATGTATCTAGCATCCCTAGGGAAGTCTCACTTGGGGTAGTTCCAGATGCAGTTTTTATTACCCTCTTGCTGAATTATATGAAGGTTCCTCCGGTCACCACCTGATTTATCCCTTTTTTCCCCTCTTGAATGATTTTCTTACTGTTGTTAAATTGATATTATTTGATTGTTTTTATTCCACTTCATTGTGAGCCGCCCAGAGTAGATGCTAAATAAATAAATACTAAATAAATAAATAAATAAATCACTGTTGTCCACTCATAACCCTCCCCTGTTTCTCTGCTACTTTTTCCATTATTTTTCTTACTGCTTATTTACCATGGAAAATCAGTTAAGAACAAAAATTGAATATGTACAAACTACCCACGTGGTGGCGCTGTGGGCTAAACCGCAGAAGCCTGTGCTGCAGGGTCAGAAGACCAAGCAGTCGTAAGATCGAATCCACGCGATGGAGTGAGCGCCCGTTGCTTGTCCCAGCTCCCGCCAACCTAGCGGTTCGAAAGCATGCAAATGCAAGTAGATAAATAGGTACCATCTCGGTGGGAAGGTAAACAGCGTTCTGTGTCTAAATCACACTGGCCATGTGGCCACGGAAAGATTGTCTTCGGACAAACGCTGGCTCTATGGCTTGAAGAGCGGGATGAGCGCTGCCCCCTAGAGTCGGACACGACTGGACAAAAATTGTCAAGGGGAAGCTTTACCTTTACCTTTTTACCTTCTAGCTGCTGACAGGAGACCTCTGTCTGAAATTCTTCTTGGTTATAGATATAGCACCAGG